GGACCCGATATTTTTTTTTCCCAATTTATTATTATTATTTTTAATTTCCCCCCTATGAAACTCCCCACCCCAATCTCTCCTCCTTCGCGATGCCGCGCCCCGCGCCCCCTCCGCGGGCTCTTGCCTGGACGCGGATCCCCTCGCAAAGTTTCTCTTCCGAGGGAGGGATTGGAGGGGGGGGGGGGGGTTTTGGGAAAAAACGCAAAAAAAAAAAAAAAAAAAAGGGGGGGGGGGGGGGCGCCAACAACAAACATAGAGAGGAAAAAAAAATAATAAAGAAAAAGGGGTGGGGGAGCGTTGCGCGTGAATTGCGCGGAAAGCCGAGCGGAGGGGGGCGTGTGCGCTCGGCCTCACTGCTGGGGGAGCCGGAGGGGTTGGGTTGGGTTGGGTTGGGAGGAGGAGGAGAGGAGGAGGAGGAGGAGGAGTGGGGGGAGGCGGTGTGCGGTGCACGCCGCGCTCCCAGCACAAAAGCGCAGCGAAAGAAACTCTTGGAAAGCGCGGAGCGAGCGGCGGGGCCGGGCGGAGCGGGTCGGGCTCTTCCTCTCCACTGGATACATTTTGCAACTGCGAAGGAATTAAATCCGATTTTTCAGGATTTATTATTATTTTTTTTTCCTCCTCGTTTATTTTTCTTTTTTCTTTATTTTTTTTTCTTTATATGTATATATATATATATTTCTTTTCTCGAGAAGGAGCACCGCGTCGCTTCCCTCCTCCTTTCCCCTCTGCTTCCAGCTCTTTATTTTGAATACGTTTTACGTTTCCCCTTGGGAAAGAGGGGCACGCGAGGAGAGAGAGAAACAAACAAACAAACAAACAAAAACCAAAACGCAAAACCACACCGTGTGAAGGAATATGAGCGCTTCGTGGCTGACTTTGGCCGTGCTCTGTGCAACTTTGGGCGCAGGTAAGCGCGTTCCGCCGTGTTTACCTCTACGCTCGGCTTCCCGACCTCACCATTGAATGGGCCGGTGCGGTTCTGTGCAGCCTTAAAAGCGGAGCGGAGCCCCCAGACCCGCCGGATGAACCCCATCCCTCCTCCCCCCCTCCAAGCTGTGAGATGTTTAATTGTTTTCTTGCCTCTTTCCCCCCCCTCCCCCCCCCCCCCCCGTTTCTCCCAAGCTCTGTACTGGCAGGACGGAGCCTTGCCGTGCTGCCGCCGCTTTTTTTGTTCCCTTCGCTGCCGGTGGGAATTAGCGGCGATGTAAACACGGCGAGAGATCGAGGAAACTTTGCGGCAATGGGCACTGACTCGTGGGGGAGGGCTGGAAGGGATGTGTGTGTTTGGGGGGGGGGGATAAGAGGGGGTACACAGACACAGAAGTTGGGGAGCCGGGGGTGGCTCCGCTCAGGTGTTGGGGCAGCGCGTGCTTGTGTGTGTGTGCCCCGTTCTTACCGGGGAGCTTAACCCTGGGGGCAGAGCCCCCCCCCCCCCCCCCCCCCCAAGAAAAAAGAAGCCACATGGGGACTCTCTCCTCTTCCCCTTAGCCCTACAGGGCTTTGCTTGTTTGCACCAACCGAGCCCTATGGGGCTGTTCGGCGGTGCTGGGAGAAAGTTGGGCAAAAGGGGGTGTGTGTGTGTGGTGGTGAGGGGGGAGAGCATCCGTCCAGGAGGGGTTTCTGTTGCACGGAAGGGGGAGGGGGGGGGGGAGAAGGTGTTAAATTTTTGTCATTCATTTTAATTCATTGAATTAATTCCGCCTTAATCGAACAGCTTTGCCCCCAAAGTTCAGCCGGAGGGGGAGGGGGGCAAAGGGTGAAGTTCTCGAAGCGGCCGTGGGGGAAGCGGGGGGCAGCGCTGTTGGGCTGGGGAGGGAGGGGGGGGGGGTTATCCCGCAGCCCTTTGGGGCTGGGGGCAGCACCCTGTGTGCCCCCCCCCCACAGCCCAGTAACGACTGCAAGCACCGTCACGCTTGAAACCCCGTACCCCCGTTTCCCTCTCATTTTATTTATTGTTTATGATTGCTGGATATTCTCCATGGGCAGCGGCTATTTTGTGTGCCCCCCCCCATCCACCTCCACCTTGATCCCCATTCAGGCCCCCTCCATTAACCTGGGTGCTGGGCAGTAACTTGTTACATTCCCTGCAGCCCCGAGGGGGGGGGGGGGGGTGACATACGTGGGGGTGGGGGACGCGTATATAAGGGGAGGGGGGGCATATATAAGAGGGAGGGGCGGGGGGGGGGGGGGCGGCGTTGAGGCCGAGCGGGTGGGAGGCAGCGATACTGTGGCCGTGCCCATCGCGGAGCGGGGAGTTCCCCTCCATCCTATAGCAAAGAAGGATTTGGGGGCAGGGAGGCAAGCGGGGGTGGGGGTTCCTTGTGCCTCTCACCCACCCCACGCCCCCCGGTTCGGCTTTGCCCGCGGGGGGAGCGGTGCCGGCCCCGGGGCGCTCCCGCTGCCGCTTCCTTTGTTCCGAGTGCCCATTAAATATGCGCTGCCACCGCCTGATTGTGGCACGGCGAGCGGTGCCACGCCGCTTAATTGCCATTATCAGCATCGTTATGGCTTTATTTCTTAAGGCGTGCCGAAACCTGGAAGGAGGGTGGAAGAGGCGAAAGGACGGGGGTTAAAAAATGAAGGGTCATGTTAATCTATTAGCGGGGAGCGAAGGCAGCTCGGGGTTGTATTGCATCGCTGGGACACTTGTGTGCAGCTTTGTTTCCATGTGCAGGGAATGGGGGTAAGGGTGTTTACATAGCAGGTATTGGGAAGGTGCTCTCCCGGCTGCAGAATTCTATTACGTGCAGCAAGGAGATGGATGGACGATGTGTTTTCTTTCTGTAGGTCTCGGAATCCGTTTATCTGGTGTGGTTCGATAGAAGGGATGGCTTTCGTGCTGGTTTGTTGTTGTTTGGGGTGGGTTGGGTTGGTTGGTTGGGTTGGGGTTGGTTTTCAGCACGCTCCTATGGCTGTGCAGAGATCGGAGTTGGAGGAGAAAAGTGGTTGATGGCAAAATAAAAGAAAAAAAAAAAAGAATAATTAACCCCCAAAGCTTCTTAAATGGATCACGTTATAAAAAGGATAATCTGATGGGGGCATACCTACACTGACCACCTCCCTCCCCCGAAAATACGATAAAGAAAGCCCCAAAAACACTCGCTATTCAGTTTGTTTGGAAGGGTCCCCTAGCATCGCTCAATCAGTGCTCGAGCAATTCCCTAAACCCCTCCCTCTCTTTTCAAGCCCTTTCTGCATTTCTTGTGATATCGACGAGCATTTATCGATGCGCTCCTCGTTGTCCGGTTTTCCCTTTCCCAAAATAAGAAAGGCAACGAGTCGCCGTGCCCCAGGTCTGGGCGCGTTGCTGGGTTGCACAGCCGTGCTTTGTGTGTTATGTGTGTATAAATACAGGGCTGTGCAAAAGTGGTGGGCTTTTCGAAATTTGCTTTGACCTCCATTGTTGGTGCTCCCTTGGCTGCCTGCGACAAAGCCGGTGCAGCCTGCTTTTCTTTTATCTAAAACAAAAAAAAAAAAGTAGAAAAAAAAAAATCTGTTATGCTTAATTTTTTGGAATACTGAGGATTCATTGAGGAAAACATTATGTTCATTTTTAGCCTTTTGTTTGCAAATTTTCTGCAGCCCAAATGTTCAGAAATCGTGTTTGAATCTCGGAGCTGTAGAAAATACAGAAGGTGTAAAAGGATTTGTCTTGCAGAATGCATTGCTAAGGCGCTTTTCCGAGCCATTACATTACTTTTATTTTGGTGCAAGTTTAAGTAATGCCATGCAGCAATGAACTGTGCTGCAAATGGATCTGCC